TTTCACCATGGTCTCGATCTTCTGACCTTGTGATCCGCCTGCCTTGGCCTCCCAAAGTGCTGGGATTATAGGCGTGAGCCACCATGCCCGACCGAAAAATAAACATTTTTATCGTAATAGTTAATGAACATGAATCATATTACAAACATGTTAAAATTATGTGATTAGACACATTAGGGGCTATCCAGGCTAGTGTCTGCAGGTTAGTACTGCCTGTGCCTCAAAAAACTCTACATAAATTTGTGCCTTGGATATCCTTTGATGCAAACTCTTACAATTTTCTGATATGACATACCCTTAAGTATACTTTATCATATAATAACTAGTATTATGTAGACACAGTTGTTTTTTTTTTGAGACAGAGTCTGGCTCTGTCACCCAGGCTGGAGGGCAGTGGCGCGATCTCGGCTCACTGCAACCCCCGCTTCCCGGGTTCAAGTGATTCTCCTGCCTCAGCCTCCCAAGTAGCTGGGATTACAGGCCGCTGCTACCATGCCCAGCTAATTTTTGTATTTTCAGTAGAGACGGGGTTTGACTGTGTTGGTGGGACTGGTCTTGAACTCCTGACTTCCTGATCCACCTGCCTCAGCCTCCCAAAGTGCTGGAATTACAAGCGTGAGCCACCACACCCAGCACATTTTGTATTTTTTATAAATATTTTAATGTTGTAGAAGAAAAAATATTGCCAAGCATAGCATTTTTCTCCCCACCCCTTCTTGCCTGTTTTATGACACAGGGTACAATATTGGCCATAGGCAATAAGGGTGAGGTTGAGCTCACTTGCCTTTTTTTTTTGAGGAATGGGTACCAAATTTATTTGTTGATTTCTTACATTTGAAGTACACTGTCACATCCTTGACCTGAAATTCTTTGCCATAGCCCTTCACTGTGACACAACTGCAACCAACCACTTTACAAAGTTTTCCTTGTCTTGTCAGTTTTCCAGAGGCTTAGCCATTTCTCTGGTTTCTTGAGGTCATCAACCTTAATTGGGTTGATTTTGTGTTCAGCACAAAGAGCCACCCCTAGCTTGATATACATAGGCTCTTCACATTTGGATGCAAGCACACAAAGATGGGCTTGGCCCTTGTCTAAGGCTTTGGCAGCTTTTCAGGTTCCACCTGCTAGGCCATCATGGCTGAGGGCGGTCTTCAGCCTCTTGTAAAGCAGCATTAATAATCCATTACACCTCCAGCAGCGTGTCTTCCTTGGTCATGGTGGGTTACAGGTGAAGCTGAATCTTGAGCACCCTGGAGCTTCTGTCTCTGAGCATGTTGTCCATGGCAGAGAAAGAGAGTTGTCTTTCTTTTCTTAACTGCAGGTAGTGGGCAGCAGTCAGTGACAGGTGTAACCTCTGTGGATGACAGCAACAGTTACTGGAGGATACGGGGGAAGACTGCCACAGTGTGTGAGAGGGGAACCCCCATCAAGTGTGGCCAGCCCATCCGGTTGACACATGTCAACACTGGCCGAAACCTCCATAGTCACCACTTCACTTCACCTCTTTCTGGAAACCAGGTGAGGTGGCTTTCGATGGATCGTTGCTGCTCTGCATTACTCAGTGGGTGCTTGTTTGATCTCTTGGTTCTTAATTGTTTCTTTTCTAGGTGTAGCTGTTCTCTTTTGTGCAGAACTGGGGAAATGGCTCTGTTTTTGTGTGAGGTTTTTTTGTTTTTATTTTTTTGTTTCTGAGATGAAGTGTCTCTCTGTCACCCAGGCTGCAGTGCAGTGGCATGATCTTGGCTTAGTGCAACCTCTGCCTCCGGCTTCAAGAAAGTCTCCTGCCTTAGTCT